CTAAAGTCTGGGTGGCGAGTAAATATGCACGTGGTATCTGACAGAGAGAGAGGGAGAGGGAGAGAGAGAGAACAAGAGAGAGAGAACAACACATACCATCTGCACCATGATCAAGGAAATATATAAACAAATGATCATTGGGGCCACTATTTAGCACTTATTTACATTTACTCGCCAACTTTTGGCTACCCTTTAAAACGTTGATAAATGTCTGAATGAGTAAAAAACCAATTTAAATTAAGTAATTTAAAAATTGATTGCTATTATTATAAATTAAATTACGGTAGGGTTGACATCATTGCCGGTATAATCCTTAGGCACTTCGTGATAGACATCACCGCCGCCGGGATGATCAATAATTTTACCCGGGGTAGGGTTGCGGCTGTTGTTGGCAATATCATCAGGGTGAAACACTATGATGTTTTCATCGGGTATGCCGTTTGCGTGAACAACTTGGTAGGCGTGGTATACGTTTGACTAATAAATAAATAAGTTAATTAATTTTATTTAATTTATAATAAATGTTTACATAAGTTATAATATGCATACCTGACTGGCATAATCGCCCCCAACCCGGAGAACCGGCAACCAATACAACCCATTTTGTGCTCTTAAACTCCTGTAAGTGGTCGTCAATGAGTGACAAGTGGCCGGTGCGCAGGGGATTTGCTATTCCTGTCTAAAGTCTGGGTGGCCGACGATCCGTACGGGTGTTCCAGTGATAAAGGGGTGGACAGTCTGACCGCCCGCTATTATTTTGGCCGTTTAACCGGACCCAAGTGCGGCACAAATACTTGTACACTCGATTCGGCACGATTTACAATTGACCCATCTGTCCGCAATAATTAAATGTTTATTTAATAATTATTATTAGCGACTAGGTTGATGTTAATTAATTATATATTTTATTTTATTTCAAATGACAGTAAAAAATTTTTTTTATAAAATTTTATATTTATACTTCTTTCAGTATATTTATAATATTTTCAGTACATTAGGCAACATATAATAATGTAGTATTACTGTAGTATTACTTAACTGTGTTTATTAAAATAATAATTTCACGTGTTATAAAGTTTTTAATATTTTTATTTCGTTTGTTATACAATGTACCAATAACATTTTAATTAACAATGTAGATCATACCATTGTTTGCTATAATTTAATCGTAACCAATCATTACCCTTATCCAAACATACGGTGCTAGACCATATAAAATTACCAGGGTTCTGGAGCAAAAATGGCTCGTATGTACCTTGATCCAAATATTGTAGATTATCTAATGCAAGTTTAACCGGTCTATTGATCGATGTAAACAATGACTTTGGGGGCAATGGTTGTTGAAACTCATTTCCCGACAAATCAAGTGTCAGGTGCTTTTCTGTGGGCTCGAGGGCTACGGTGAATGCGGTCACGTCAATGTCAAGGCTGTGCACGCGGTCGTTGATGATCATCAAGTCGGTCAATTGGGTCATGTTTGCGAACGCGTGGGCGCCTATACTTTGTATGTAAAACGACTCGAACAGCACAGACTGTAGGGATGGGTGTGACTGAAGTGCCCCCTCCGGTATCGATGCAAACCTCGCCTGACTAATAGCGAGTGCCACTAGACTAGTGGCGCCCCTAAACGCGGCGAACAGTTCGCTAATGTTGTCTGGTTTGTAGTCGTGTGCGAGTGGCGCATTATGGAAAGATAGGATTGATACATGGTTATCAATAAATGCATCCGGGTGAATGTGGTGCAGGTTGAATGTGCTCTCAAAGCTAATTTTGATAAAATATATGTCCGCAAACGCGCGCGCGGGTACTTCAGTTAACATAGTGTTGTATACCTATGCGTAGATGGAGGGTTGCAAATATTCGCTTAATACAGGTATAAATAGTATCATGTAAATATGTAGTAATTTAAAATTAAATATTTCCTACTAAATATGACCATTACAGTCAATACCCAATGGGTATATGCAAGAGTTGTATTCATTTACTGTATAAGCAGCTAGATTAACGTTGAAAAACAACCCTATATTACTATTTGTGTAACATAACTATTTTACATGTAACATATTAATACATAATTACATACATAATAACAACTTAAGATTTTAGCATTACATTTACTTACATTTAATCGTGAAAACTGTTTGGTGTCGTTAAGCGCACGGCTCAGGCGCCCAAACACTGCGCCCAAATCTACCGTATAGTCTTCGCCCCCGCACTCAATATAACGCTCGTATATTGTCATGTCTTCGTAACACTGGCAGGGCGTCAATACTTCGGGCGCCGGGCATATCAGTCTAGCCTCTATCGTGGCCACGATTAACCATGTTGCAATAAGCCACAAGTTGAAATTGTATATATTTGCCTGTATATTAAATGCGTATAGTTAAAATATTAATATACCTATTGAAGTAATATATTATATTACACTTAATACTTTACTTACCATGTTAAAATGTATTTATTATTATTTTAATAATTTCAAACGGATAATTGTTTATTGAAATTATGAACATCTTTTATATACTATTAATAAATGTACTTAATGTACTTAAGAATAACCTATTGTGATAATAATATAAGTAATATTAATAATATTCAGTACATGGTGTAACAAAAATAAAACACTTATATAAATTTTAATCATAATCTTAATAATTAATTTAACCATTTTCTAATAAATCCGGAATATAAGACAAGGATACACTATCAACTTGGTAACTTTATTAATTATAATTATTCGTAGAATTTAAAAAATATCAGTTATTTATGTGCTTTATCTAAATCCTATTAACTCTGGACGTTAAGTGCAATATGATATAATTATTGATAACAATTTTTAAA